TTGGCTTCAAATTTTGATCTTTCTTCTGCTCTGCTTTAATATCTATATCTGGTTCCATTTCACCATCATCAACTCCTTCCGTCACTTTGACTACATCTTGATGGCACCTAGTTAGTTCAACCTCTCATTTAACAGTTACCGGAATTTGGCCTTTGTTGTTCCCAAATGTCATTTTATCAAAATTTATTACAAACCTCCTTGGTAGTAAATAGTCCAATACTAATATGCATTGGTCTTCAACGTCAGCCAAGTATACTTTCTGTATGTTCTTCATGCCCATGAGCTCAATAGTTACTCACACTGGTCCCCACAACCTTGCATAATGTACTGAGTATCTGTATGGCCTCTGGTACTCCTTTGTGATCTAATACCTTGATACTCACAAGGGTTTGCAGAGATGCAGAATCTATGACAAAGTTGCACTTTTGGCCATCCAGCTTTCCTGTCAAGAAGACACTATGTATGCTTGCCATTTTACACCTAGCTGTTGGGACTTCACATGGGGGTTGGTGGACTTCCCTCAGCACCAATCACTACTGGTCTCCCTGAGACTGACTTATTGGTAGTATTATTCTTACTCTGGCTCCTTACATGTCCTTGCTCTCCACAGTTCCAACAACATTTCTGGGTAGCAGCCTTTCCTGCCATGGCATCTTCCCCGTGTTGAAGTTCCTGGCATTGAGCTCTCTTGTGCCCAGGTTTGTTACAGTACCAGCAAAGTCCTTCAAACTTCTCTGAAAGCTGCCCTTGAATCCTGATGACTGTAACAACCTTGGTACCTCTGTGCTGGACTTAATGTAGGATTCCAATTCAAGAGATCTGGCCATTGCATCTTATATAGTAGAGGGGTGTGCTTGCTTCACTTATGGACTGTCCAAGGCATCTACAAACTGATCCCTCAGCAACAGCTTGAGGACATCGGGTGGTGCAGTTGGGTAGGCCTTGTGTGCCATACTTTCCAAGTCCTGCGCCAGCTCTCCCCTTTAGCACGGACTCTAGTTCTAAACTTAGCCCTGTAGACTTCGGACTGATTTGGAGTTCGATACCTGAGTTTTAGAGCAACTACCAGTGCTCTATATTTGTGCCTGTCATCTG